GAATCAGTATTGTAGGCTAGAAGTACAGCATCCCTGACCTGCAGATCACATCTGACCCATGGGGTTCCCAACAGGTCTGGGAATTTATCAGGGGGAGAGCAGTGGTAGTGTTAATTGCTCCCAGAGGCAGTTAATGCCCCTAGAGCCACATAGGAAACCCTGCGGGCCAGACCACATAGGGTCATGTGATCTGGCACATGGGGGTTAAGTGTCGGATCTGGCGCACAGGCTCAGGCTGGTGTTCAGGGTAGCCTTATGGACTGACTCCACATTAGATCCATCACACAGACCGACCCTGCCCGTGGACCAGCCCTGCACCACTCACCCAACTCATGGCCAGAAGGTTGGGCACCACTGTTCTAGCTGCTCCAGTTTTTGTGGGGTTTGGCTGAGACACTTTACAAGAGAAACCCGATTTTCAGAAATGCTGAGCTTCTACTTTCTGAAGATCAGGGCCCCATGTCCGCAAGTAGGGACGGTCCTGCCTGGCTTCACTATTTTTTACATCACTGGTGACAATGTGCAAACTACCTTGCCTCCCTGCGCTACACGCACTCTCTCTCCTCCAGGTGATACCAGCCATAGTTTTCAGCTGCATTTCTGAAATAGTTAGACAATGCAGAGAGAAGAGAAAAGGATGCTCAGTAGTAGGTCTTCTGGAGCTGCCTTGTATCCTAGGAACTCCTCCCCTTAGGAGCCCTCAATCCCATCACAGGCTTTGATTAAATCAAAATGGGGTCAGACCCGATGATCTACCAGGTCACTTCCAACTCTAGAAATCTATGAAAGCTCTAGAAATTTATGAGAGGCGGCCACCTTTCAAGAGCCCAGCTGTGATCACGCCACAGGCTGTTTCTTCCTGTGCTTGGCACTGGCCAGGGCTGCAGCACTCAGGGCTTAAAACTGGCTCCCACGCCCCATGCCCCTAGATCATTCTTCAGAGACATACTACCCTTCTTTCTCCAGCTGCCGCTGCTCTGCTGCACATCCTGCCCCTGAAAGCCAGGCAATGCAGGGAACAGCTTGGGGGGGGGGGGGGGGGGGAGGGAGCAGAGGGAGATCCTGGGAGCCATCCCCAGGCCAACACAGGAGTACACAACCTTCCCAGTCCACTGACCTCTCCCCCATTCTCCACACCCCTCCTTGAAGCGGAGGGCAGGCAGGACAGTTTCACCTGCCTTGGGTGCCTCTGTTTCTGGGGGATGTGGTGTGAGGTCAGACTGGGAATGACTGCAGCAAGACTGGGGATTCCTGCCTGCATTAGGTTTATCAGTAACCCTAGTACAGGCAGGAATGTGGGCTCATGCTGCAGCCTTTCCTGGTCTGGCTGTGTCCAAGGTACATGGGGCAGTTCCAACTGTTGGTGACAGCCCCAGCAACATCCACGCCTGAGGACCTTTGGTTTCTCAGAGCCCCAGGGAGCCATGGGTCCCCAGTTGAGAACCCTTTACAGCAGAGGCAGGCAAATACAGCCCACTAAATACTTTCATCCAGGTTCCATCTTAGCCACTGTGCAGCTTGTGCATGGGGCTGCCGCTGCTGCAGCTTCTGT